CAATATCCCGAATGTCTTGCGAAATAGATAAATCCTTATCAATACTTTCTAGTGTAAAATAAAATATATGGTGTGCTATATCTTTTCTAGCGAACTTATAATTATCAATAATAATGGAGACGTAGTGGTAAAGAGACCAGTTCTCATACGAACAAAGTTCAAAATACCTAGTATATGGTATATCGTCGTTTGCAGTTAAATTTCCTCGAATATTGATAGTGGTAGCAGACATGTTAAAAAATGTATTAGAAGACTGGTGTATAGAAATCACGGCAATTACAACGTAAAAAATATACATACCGAACTTATCCCTAAAGTCTTTTTATATCTCGCGACTATGAAATTGGGCAAATGAGAGAAGCTCAACTGGGTAGTCATGAGTTCACAAGCAGCAGGCTAAGGAAAAAACAACAAAACATGACAAGACGCGTTAAAGTAACAGCAAAAAGACGCGTAACCCAGGATAGGCAGATCACAATATTTTACTGGTTTACCTCCCGCATAAACCTGCAGGTGGTACATTTCACTAGGCGATCACTACATACGGACTGGAAGTTGTACAGTCGCACAGATGATTTTATTATTTAACGAGGATAAAAAAACGTGTTAATTTATGTTGCAATTATTATCCATATCTAACAAATCTACAATAGTTACATTTTATAGCTGGGTAAGAGCTGAGAATTTTAAATTATTCGTCAACGAGTCACATGCGCCTAGCTCTTTACAACTATATTTCTTATATTCTGAAATTCTGGCTAAATTTTCAAAGTTGTATTTTTTATCAATACGGTAATATTCAGGATTCCGTGGCCATTTTAACATGTCAGTCCATTCCACCTCCCATATCGAACCTCTAATAATAATTTCAAAGCAAGTATGAATGCTATATTTATTAATATTAAACGTAACTGGACTCCCTTTTCCGATATCAACTCCAAATCATTCGATCCAAAACCCCAATATTCACGAGTAGGAATTTTACTTAAAAACAGCAGAGTTTTTTTTCCTATTTTCGGTCGCATGAAATGCATCCCCTTGCGTCACCCTTGCGCCACTCGTACAGTGTCCCTACCGCAGTGGTACAGATATGCACATGGCGCATTTGGTGTGAGATTTCCGAAATTTATTTTTTTCATGTAGTAAAATTTACGAATTTGCAGATCACGTATTATAAACCACGATTTACTGTATATATAGCCGGAAATTCACTCTACATGCACCATGTACATATCTGTACCAATGCGGTAGGGACACTGTACGAGTGGCGCAAGGGTGACGCAAGGGGATGCATTTCATGCGACCGAAAATAGGAAAAAAAACTGCTCTTAAAAACTTCATATCGTCAGGAGTCCCATCACTCCTTACCGTCTCCCAAACTCGTTTTGCCAAAGATTCGGGTCTCTTCTTATAATCCCTGTAAGCTCGCTGGATAACTACTGCATAGAAATTCTCAAACTGATAGTTATATTGTCTCGCAATCAAGAATCCCCAAGATCGCTTCATTGATCTTCCTGAACTTCTCGAAAAATACTTTATTAAATAGATTAGAAGATCTAACTCAGAATAGGCAGATCATGCATGGCGCCTTCAACCAATTTTACTAGGCGATCATGCATATAACTATCATTTCGCAAAAAAAAATAAAGGCTAAAAATATAGTTGAGATAAATAATGTTAATATTCAGTCGAAAGATATTAATTCTATCTCCTTCCTTGCATTTTTTCGTACAGAAGCCCAGTACTCATCAAGATCAATAAAGCTAGGCGCACTTGCACTATGCTCCATGGGCCTGAGACCCAAAGGCTTTGGTGGTAAAGTAGGAGGAGTCAATGAACGTGACTCATTAATCAAACTAGGTGTAAAGCTCTTGGTTTTCATAGGCTTGGTTGGCATGATATTTGTGGGTTTAGTAGACCTGCTAGGCGCGATATATTTGCATTGTATTTTATTTTTTGCTATAGTCAATCTATCAGATAATTGGCGCCTCTTATGATATGAATAGCTTATATAATCATAAAGTTGATCTTGCGGAACATGATAAGGTCTATACCATCCATCAATAGAATACCATATATCTATATTTACAGTACAACGAATTTCTCTACCAGGCATGTGAAGGAACTTCTTTTCCTTAGGAGTATTATCATTTCTAACCACTTCCCAAATTTGTTTTGCTAATGAAACAGGCCTCTTCCTGTAATTTCTATAAGCTCTTTGAATAAGCCGAGCACTTCCGTCCTCAGTTTTAGCTTTGTAGCATTCATTATCCAAATGAAGTTTCATCAAGTCTTCAGGTTTGACTTCATAGCCATATCTGTGCCATCCACTGAAATATGTCTTTCTTGGTTTTACATCAGTGATCTTTACCAATTTCCAGCAATCGAAGCAAATAGCCATTTGACTTTTATGGATCCTGGGTCGACGATAAGCATAAGAATTATCCATCTTACCATTCCCAAATCCTGCAAATAAGCAGTGTCGGTGATATACACTAAATCTCTTATTGGCTAATAGTTCTTGTAATCGAATCCTAACACATGTAGTTAGAGACTGACTTGGCTTTACAACCGATAATATGTCATACTCTCTCTCTACTTTGATTATTTTTTCGAGGTCAATACCATAACAGTAATTTCCAATATATGCACTAACATAGCGCATATCATATCCAGGACGATTATTAATGGGTTTAGGTACAACCTTATTAAATCGCTCATCTAGAATAATATTTTTGTTGATTTATGGCGTTTTTAGTGAATTATGACGATTCTTTATCAAGATATACAAAAGAATAACATGATTCAAATTTATACAGATTTGCTGGTTAAGAGATTTATAGCAATTTTAATGCTTAGCCGATTTAGTGAGACTACATACTACTAAATCCCAATTCATTTTTATTCGATTAAGCATACCGGGGATTTATAGAGGTTTGCAGATCCCTTGTGATTTTGCCTGATCGGTTAAATTAGATCCGAGTCAAAATATAACGGCTAAATTATTATCCACCCTAGCTCCTTCCCTTGACGCTAGAATGTCCCTCAAATCACAAGATGATCAGCTAATCAGATTTCGCGTAGCACCCTTTTTTCTTCGTAAAGCTCAGAAAAAACTTTTTCATAAATCATTTTTTTCAAATAAATTTTTTCGAATAAAATTTTAATTTAAGAGAAAAAAGGTCTTCTACCATGAAAAAATAAGGCTTCTATCAAGTGGACCGACGCCCAGACTCGCTTCATTATCAACGAAAGAAAAGAAAGAAATGCTGAGTTCCATTCTACTTCA